CTGTTTAGTTTCATTAGTCAAACAAATATGGGTTCTAGGCTATATTTTTTCCAGAATAGCTTAGCTACTGGAAAGAGTCTCCTTAATTTCCCACAGCATCCTCATTACTACTCATTAGTATTTGACTATTTATCAAGACTGCATATTAGAGCTTTGAGCTATAGGTGTTTCCTGTGATCTCTCCAAAGAAAACTAAATAGCTTTTAAATTCAAAAAGCCAGGTTTTATTAGAAAAAAAAAAAAAACTAGAACACTCCAAATGACTAGGAAAAACAGAATAAAAAGGACGTCACATAGTTTTAGAAACTAAATACAGTGCATAACAGATGGTTTACAAGTATCATATGCAAAATAATCTGCTAAAAGATACTCTGGTTGCCTTGGAAAGACAAAATGACATACAAAGAACTGGACTGACAAAGAACATAAGACGTGCCATTTTGTATGCCAAATTCTGATAATGAGACAACTGAGATCTCTTAAACACTGCTACAGATGCTGTCAGACAGCATAAGATATATTTCTACTAAAGTCTCCTTTCATCTGTGCTTTCTTTGGAGAAGTTACAAGCAGCCACACTAAGTCCAAGAAAATCAAAGTGTGTGCATTCAGACTATCAGGCTTAAAGTGTCTGGGAATAAAATTCAAAGCTATTTTCAAATCAGATTGTGGAGCTGATGAGAATTTAGCACATATTTTCTTCTACACAAGTTCTGGCCAGCTTAGGATATTCATCAAATGCAGGTAAGAGATCTGTGCTTATTTTACCCTCTATCTGTTTTTGAATAAGGTTTTGAAGTCCGTTCTCCTATAACATTAAAGAGTGTTGTAGCTACAGCTTATTAGGAATGCCAGGGTTAAATTCTCTTTTCTAATGAAGTGTTTCATGGCATTTTTTTCAATAATACTTGTAATGAGGTAGCAAAGGGAAAAACAGTCAGATGGGCCAATCACTTCAGCACTCCTATTCAATCTGGAAAAAAAAAAACAGATAAATTCAAGTGGCACTATGCTTTACAACAGCTACTTTCAATAACAGTGAAACGCTAGTCTAGTTTTCTCTCAGTTGCTCTACATATTTTAAAAATTCTCAGACTGGAAGAGGATGGCTAACTTCTTTTAGGTAGCACTGATAACCTTAATGCTAGCTGCCATCTGACTGCAACCTCATATTATGTAAAAATTACAGCCATCAGACAAAAAGGTTTAAGTTCTAATGAGCTCACTATTCCTTTGCCATGTCAACATCCATGGAACAGACCACACGAGGCACCTGAGACAGCATCGAGCTCTTTGTAGCTCAGCAAGGCTTGCACACAAGTTGCTTCTGAAGCCTGATCTTTGAATTGTGAAATTGCACCAGGATTCCAAGCAGGGATTCAAGGGCAAACCCTGAAATTCCACAAACATTTCTAAAGCTATTCAAAATTTTCAGGCATGCACTGGACTAGATGCCTTCGTGCTTGTCATTTTCTAAAACTTCCATCAGCCATTTATCAGTTTGATTTCTTTCCCATTTATTCTGATAAAACCAGCTTCCTCCAAGGCCTATCACTGGATACACAAATCATGACACAGAATTTATCAAAAAGCTTCGGACTACAAACTAGAAATCCTTGCCATTAAGTGAACAACTGCTTAATATTGCTAATGTTTACAACTCTTCAAATAGCATGTATCCTTAATTCCAGCATTTAACATGACGATACAGATAGTCTTTCAACTAAGGAATATTTAACTACGTTCTTCTATAACACAGAAAGGATTATTAATCCAGTTCTTGGTACATCAACTGAAACTGCCACACGCAGTTTCACACAGCTGATACTTAAAAACCTTAAACTTATTTATACTGAAAACTCTGAAGACTTCCAGTCATTACTGTATGCAATCACTCTCATATTTCCTTTAACATCCTCTTGCACACATACAACAGTTGCTTTGATTTCTTTTACTTTCTATTTTCTCTTATAATTATTTCTATAATTATCTGTATTTATTTTGCCATTATGTTTCTGTCTAAAGTTCTGTATGACCCATTGAAAGAAGTTTTTCAGTAGTAAGGTACAGCTGACATGACATATGGTCCTGTTTTTTCATGGTCCATTTCCAATTTTTCATTTGACATCATGAAAAGTTTTTTCAATATATTATTCTTCTTTATAAATTAGTCTTTGCATATAAATGTTTCCAAGATCAGAGCATTGCTCTTCATGCCTCAGTTTCCATTCGTACAAAATAGAGCCATTTCCCAAACTAATAAACGTGGCATTTACGGAAAGAATTGTAAATGATGCTGAACTTTTTTCATCAGATGAGACGCATGCTTTCTGAGGCATTATTTCTTTTTCTTTTTTAACCTAGTCCTTCGATATCTAAAAGTCTTTCTTTAGGGTTCCCTTATATCATTCTAGTCCTACCAACGTATTTCTTCAACAACGGAGAGTTCTGGTTTGATGATGATGGTGATGAAAATGTTTAAATTAAGATTTATATTTACAATGAATTATGCAGTTTTCAGTTTGGTTTCTGCTATCCTGATGCACACATCAGAAAAAAAAATAGCTCTAATTTTAGCTCTATTAAGTATAAATGCAACAAGGACGTGTTCTGCCATATGCTAAGAGCTTATCAGGGAACTTCAGATTTCTGGCCCAAAATAGTCAACAAAAGTAATTTTCCTATATCTCTTCAGTTGTGGCGTCTCACTCATTACCAGCACAGGTGTGAGTTAAATGCTCTTCAGTCACAGCATAATTTTGACTCAAAAATAATATGTATAGATTTGGAAAGTTCTTTTATCAAATGCTTAATTGACATCCCAAATGAAAAAAAAAAATGTCTAAACCACTGGATTGGCAAACTCAGAACCACAGGTAGAATTCTATAAAGCAGTTTTATAAATAACAGTTTCAGATAAGAATCAGGATGGATTCTGGCTTGCCTTTAAACATTTACCTTACAAAAAAAATCAAAACCTTTAAGCTGCTTGGATTCATCTAAATCCCTGGTGGAATTCAAAGTAGTTAGTGATATATTTGCAAATATTACTTCTATTTTATTTTACCTTCAGCGGATATGGACATTGTCATTAAGGAATGAGAAAAATATAATTAAACAACATCCATATTCTTCTCCGGATGAATACAGTTAATTCAAGCATTTCATTTACAGTTGTGAGACACATACACCAAATCAAAAATGTGAAATTTACTTAATGGAACGACCCATTAACATTGACAGAAAATATCCGATAAGGCAGATACATCATTAAAATGTATTTGATTTGTTTTCACACAGTACAAGTCTTGCAAGAGCACTTGGTGAACTTCCAGATCTTATTAAATATTTATAATTAATCCTTACAAAGTAACATTTCACAATGTGTGTTCTAATTAAAGGGACATTGTCAAATTGAATTTTTTTCTGAGTTGATGCATCTGAAAACTTCAATTTTCTGTTCAAATACTACCTAGATGGTAGATTACACCTGTTTCTTAAAAAAAATAGAAAACTTAGATCATCCACTGCATTTTACCAACATCTTTCACATGATTCTAAGCACAATATAAAATACACTCAGGTTAATCCTTCTTGCCCCCAAAGTTTCACAGTCTTGCGTAACTGGTTGCTTACTGATGTCAGTTTAGCTTCAGCTTTCCCATTCCTG